AGATGTACGTAAATTAGCTTTTAGCAAGTAACACTGGCGTGGGGATTGCAGCCCTCGGAGGGAAGAAAGAGCGCGGCCAAGGTTACATTCCTGGTTGATGTTTGAAAACCACGGCCAAGGAAATGTCCCTGGTCGATATCTGCTTCTGCTGCCTGTGCATCAGGCTGCTGTGCTTTGATATTTCGTTGCGTCCATGCCTTGCTAAGCTTGGCTATGTTTATTGCACTGTAGCACGACATAGCACGGCATAGCAAGACATAGCATGGGATAGCACTACATAGCACAGGATAGAATGACACGGCATGACATATTATGACTTATTATGACATAGCATGACGTAGCAAAGCACACACACCTTGCTATGCCTTTCCCTCCCTCGGCGTGCTATATGCTTTTCCCCTGTTTTCTTATGCTTTTCCTGTGCCGCCGTATGCAACATGCTGCTGTGGGGTTAGCAGAGTGGTTTGCTATGTTTTGCGCAGCTTTGGTGTGTGTTGCTGTGTTTTGCCGCTGCCGTGGTTTGTCCTGCTTTGCCTTATGCACTGTGCCTATACTCGTCACAGTCGGCAGCTTCCATTTCTGTGATTCGTGATTTTGTGCTGGTGTTGCCCCGCCCCCTCTTTCCCCCTTTCCCCTGCATGAATGTGACAAATATAGCATAGGGGCTCGCCGCACCACCACTCGCCGAATGCCAACATGCTGAATGTGTCTGAACCTGGCAGTGATACCGATATGTTCAAAATGGTGGCTTTTGGCGAGTGGTGCGGCGAGCCCCATATGCACAACACAGCATAAATGCCATGGCATGCCTTGTTGCACGGAGCTGCCCTCAGCTCTGATTTGCACAAAAAATTAACACGGTAATATGATATATGTGACAAAAATGTGCCTATAGCATGAAAAAAAACTGGTTTTTAGTTTCATCATTCTTGGAGCGACCAATTCTGGCAAAACTAGGTAGCATAAAAATAGATTTTGTGTGCCTAAGCTAATCAATCATATCTTTGAGCGAATATCTCATAAGAAAAGACTTCAAAAGCTAATCAAAATAGAATTTGTGCAGCAAATTCAGTACCTCAACCCATTATCATATCGCTGGCCACGAAAAGACTTCCAAAAGCCAGAAGATAAGCCTTGCCATGCTACGTGAGTGGTTTGCCATGTCTTGTTGCACTTTTGGTGTGAGCGGTTTGCCATGATTTCGAGTGCTTCGCCATGCTATGCGAGTGCTTTGCCATGTGTTTTGCCATACTTCGCTATGTTTGCCTGATTCGAGTGCTTTGGCATATTCTCTACGTTTGGCCCGGTTTAGTGTTGAGTGGTTTGCCCTGACTTCCAAAGGCATTCTTGGAATTTTGATTATGAAACAGAGGTAATTATTTTCTAAAGAGAATAAAGTCTGGTCCGCCGTGAAAAAGGTAGCAAACAGCTAATAAAAGCAAAACCAAAATAACTTTACATAAGCGAATAATGTGAACAAGTTCTGGCCTACGATCAGGAGCAGTGAAAATGACATCTGAATTGGAATCGTTCCTTAGGGATGAACTCCGATCGACACAGTGGCACCGTCATCAATTTGCGCCCGTGCCCAACCTGTGACGGACCCATCTTCCGAGCCTGGTTGGGGTGAACCGGTTATGAATTTGCGCGGCCAGGGTAGTGGTTTAAGATGGGGAGATCCCCCCCCCCCCCTTGCCCTTCTTGTGCATGCGACCAAGTTAGGAACAGCACAGCATATAGGCCTTGCTGCACTGCTCGAAGCTTAGGCTTTGCTGAGTTGTCGGTGCACGTTGCTGTGCTTCGCAATGCTTTGCTGTGTGGCTTGCTGCACTTTATACAATGTTTATCCGGCTTTGCCAGGCTTGGCCATCCAAACCACAACGTAGTGTAACATAGCATGGCTTTGGTGTACGTACTTTGTCACGCTCTGCAATGCCGCACTTGCCGCTAACTATGTTGGTCATGCTTTGCCGTGCGAACCACAGCATATCGCAAGACAGCAAAGCAGTTGACTCATGAGGTGCTTCATTGGGTCTTTTAGTTACCAACCGGCCTAACTCAGTCCGTACACCCATGAACCATTGTGATACAGACCCTAGTTCGAATCCACGTACTATCAGATGAGAGAGTGAAGGTTCATTAAAGTGTTAAAGAGCGAACAGACAAGCTTTAGCAGCCTCCATGTTTTGTTCCATGCTTGGCCGTGCTTTCTCCCAGCTTGCCATGCCGTGCCAAGATATCATCATGGAAGTGACTGGGCCTAGGTAATTCAGAAGTATGTTATTTTGTTAATCTGACTGCATCTGGGTTCGAGCATGGGTCTGTATTTCAACAGTCCATGAGTTCACCAACTGAGCTAGGCCCGTTGGTTGGCCATGGGCCTTTGTGATACACGGCTGTGCGTTGCCATGTTTCCTTTGCTTGCTTGGCTGTGTGAGGCCCTCAGGCCTCAAGCGGGGATATGAGCAGCCTAGGGCCGATAAATAGGCGACACCTGAATTGGGCCTTAATACGAGATCAGACTCATGTGGGGGGCTGGTATGACCTTAAAATGGTAGCGTTCATCTCCCACGCCTACGGAATCCAAGAATGTGCATGGGTACATCTGAAGTAGGCACACATGAGATTCTGTATTTATTATTTCATGTGTGTTCTAGATGTATGCCAGCACTAAAGGAGCATGGGCCGATGGCAAGCTGGAGGCGGAATTGCAGTTGAGTTTTTGATAAGAGCCGTGGAGATTGGGTGGTTGACGGCAGGGGGGCAGAAGAACGGGGCTGTGCACCGAATTGTTCACAGCGTGCCAGTGAAGGAGAGAGGATGGGAATATTTAAGCAAGGGAACTATCGGATTGGACATGTCGGCTGAACATGTCGCAAATGGGCTCGGGTGTCGACACTCTCTCAAGTCGTTTTTGATGGCAGTCCCAGGGCATACACACGCTTTGCAGTCTGATTCATCCAGCTCCGGCCCCTTCGCCTTCGCTGTTCCGGATTTCTCGTCAGTCGTTTGTGGGTGGCGCTGGGTGCAGGGCCTGCTCGCACTAAAAAAAATTCTATCAAGCTCTGGACGTGATTGCCGTTGGATTCATCCAGGTCTAGCCATCCCATCCTTGATTTTTTACCTGTTCTTTTTGTGCAGGCATAGCCCGCACCACCTGCACCGTGGGCGCACCTGCACCATGGACACTAAGCTAGTACATATATATAGTCATTGGGAACTGCCTGGTGAACCGTGGGCTTAATCGTCTACAGTCTGCAGAGTCCTCAAACCAATGATACTGAAAGTTGTAATCCACCTTAATCCCAGTTGTGGTTAAGCATCAACTGCTGCTCGACAACTGATACTCCGAGGTGGGCACCAACCACTGTCATCAAAGCACCTTTGGTGAAAATCAAAGCAAATTATCACTTGCCCAATCCACACACTGCTGGCACAAGAGGCACAGCATGTCCACATAGTGACGGTCTGGACCACTGTTGCAAGGAGCCAGTGAAGTCCCAAAATAACAAACATTGAGAACTGCCTGCCTGGTAAACTGTACATATGATTTATATCTGTAGATGTATGGAAGATAGACTGTCAGACAGCTGGGAACTAGGAGTGCATCAGTGAAAGACAATGGAGAAGTAGCTGGCAGAGTGAACCAGAAAAACACAAGGAGAAGAAATTATGAAAGCTCACATTGAAACTTGTTTCGGGGATTTGGTATACGGGAATGCAGCGCATGGTTTGACCAAAAGTGTTGTTTTGCTGCTATTTGTTCCGGGTTTTGTACTCTCTAGCACGTCTGAGCTTGTGGCTTAAAATTGGTGCTGTGGTGTAAAAGCATGGGGGGTGGGGAGAAAAGTGACCATTTTGTTTTTGAATGGCTAAATGGCTTAATCCCAGAGCATCACGACGAATGCCAGTGTGATTTGGCAAGAGAGAGAAATGGCTTAAACCCAGAGCATCGCGTCGAATGCCAGTGTGATTTGGCGCGCCCGCGCGTGCGCGCTGGGGGGGGGGGGGGGGAAGGGAGAGAGAGAGAGAGAGAGAGAGAGAGAGAGAGAGAGAGAGAGAGAGAGAGAGAGAGAGAGAGAGAGAGAGAGGAAGGTTGGCCGATAACTTGTTCTCCATTGGTTTTGAGCTTATGAGATTAGAGTAGGAGAGAGTTCTGGTATAGGGTGGCTGCTGACATGCAGTCTGAGTAGGTTGTCCTATTACTGTGCGACATTCACTCTGACCTGTCTGCTGCTATGCCTGTGAACAGGCAACCTGTGACGAGGCAGAGGCAGAGCAGCGAGGCTGGGGGAGGGAGGTAGAGTGAGAGCACACATGCACGCTCAGTGAACTTTACACAGACTCGACACGGCTTGACGGACGCAGACACAAAGTGGCAAAAGTCGCAAAGTTGCAGTCTTGAATTCCCGAACACAATGTCGAAGCAAAGTCGCACTGAACACAAGCACTGAGGCTGAAAACTTGGTGCCCGTGCTGGGCTTGAATCTGTACATGAGTACCGGACTCAAGTACGGTCCTGAGGGCGAAAGTGAAAAAGCCTCAGGGCCAGAACTGAAAATTGAAAGTCTGAGAGTGGGCGCCAGAATGTCGGATGGCACCAAGTGTCCGAAATCCGAAAGTCCCAAAAGAAGGAATTTGAGAACGGGCGCCGGAATGCAGATGGCGCCAACTGTCTGAAATTAGAAGAGCAAAAACAAGAAATAAAACAAGAAAATTGTAAAAACAAAAAAGAGAATAAATACAGCAAGCTGGCGGGTGGTAACCGGCAGACCAGGGATCGAGCCCTGGCGGAGTCCGTAACACAACCAGCTCCCATAGGGGGGTTGAGAGAGAGAATGAGAATGAAACAAAAAGGTGCATACACATACGCACACACACACACACACACACGCTCACACAGCATACACATACGCACACACACACACACACACACACACACACACACACACACAGAGAGAGGCTCATGAGTTTTTGGTATGTGGTGTTTGTGCCTGCAGTTTATGACAGACCACATGTTCGGGAGTTTGTGCAATTCTGCTTGGACCATTTCTTTGTTGGTGTTTGGTCATCAAGTAGAAGGTAAAATTAATCTCCCTCTCCGCTTCCCGCATCTCTAATGGTATACTCAAAATCCGATTTTGCATGTCGAGGTTCTTTCGGAAAAGAGGCCTATGGGGCTTGTCAGTCGTTGCTTTCACATAATTGTGACAGCGATTGAGCGTGGGTAGTGGGTTTGGAATTTCTGATTTGAAATAGCATCTTTATTTCAATCTCAACCCTGTCTGGAACTCATACACAGTGATTGAGGCGTATCATTTCAGAGCCATGCTCCACATGCACCCTTGTGGTCGTAATACTATTGAATGACACATCATGTTATCTTCCTGGATTGACGCTGAACTGTCACTGATTTGTTCCTGAATTGCACGTAACTTTAAAGGGGCACCTCAATAATGCCACTGAATGATGCTTGATTTTAACTGCCTGAATTGTCTGTGAATTGTCTCCTGAAATGTCCAAAGTGGAGGGACACTTCAGCTTCTGAATGGCGCTCTGTCATAACTGCCTGTCTAAATTGCATACAGAGCAACTCGTGCTACTAATGTGTAGAGCGCTTTGTAATGCCATCTTAGGCTCTTTAATTGCAACAGATGTGGTGTGTGTTTGGGTGGAAGATTGGGAGGATGAGGGAAGACGAACAAATGAAAGCAAAACTAAAAACCCAAAATGAAAGAAATAGGAGAATCGGGAGAAGGTAGAAAATGAAACAAAAAAAAGAAATCAGTGTCCTTAAACCACCATTACCTCGGAGCCTGTTTTTGCCGACCCTGGATTTCACTGCGCACTGAAATCTGCCGAGCGTCGGTGCCATTGTGTTTTTTTTCTGGTCCTCTTCGGAAAGGAAAAAAGAAAAAAAAGAACAACGAAAAAAACAAAAAAAGGAACAACCCTAGGGACGTGAAAGCAGCTGCATGCAGAATCTGGGGCACATGTGAGACTATGCCCTCACAATGGGCAGTTACACCCCAGCCGTATTCACGGGATGAGCCAGAGAAAAAAGAAGCACAAAGAAATTAAAACCATGTGAAAGCAGCTGAATACAGAATCTGGGGCATGTATGACAGTATGCCCTCCCGATGGCCCTTACTTCACGAGCTGTATTCATGGCAGCAGCAAAAAAAAGAACATACTCTTTGGACTTGAAAGCAGCTGGATACAGAATATAGAGTACAAGTGAGATTGTGCCCTAAGTTGCAGAGTTGTCAGCTATCCGTGTAATGCGCCCTGCCATTGGCAGGGCGTGAACAGGGGATGAAAAGAAAAAGGAAAATAAAGACAACCAATAATGAAAGTAGCTAAGTTTCTGGGTAGATGCGTTCCTTGGAGTACCAGTGTGAGCAAACTTTCTTCACGGCCTTCCCCGATTTCCTCCCTTTCGACTCTGCTGCTTCATTCACTTTTATTTTTTGTTTTGTGATCGTGCCCACAAGTCCCAAATCTAAAGGCTTGCCGACCCTCCGCCGGGCTCTGGAAACTTCGCAATTTTGGGAAAACTGCCAGTTTTCCCGAATTTCTTTTGCTTGGAGGAGGTGCTAACATCCCTCAAAATTAGAATGCTACAGAGAAGTTAAACATGGCTCCTTTGCAAGGGCAATATCATGCGCAAATTGAGAAATGGTCCATAGCCAGGAAGATTTTCATGACCGGCCGGTCACCCAGGCGTGACGCCCGGGATACCCGGGCATGGGGAAAAAATAAAAAATAAAATATTGGCGGTGGGGTTTTTCCGCGCTCTCCGAGAGGGGAGCCCAAATCTGGGCTCTTTTCTTTTTTTGAGAGTTGGCTGTCAAGGGGGGGGAATGGGAGTATAAATGAATTTTAAAGGGGCTAAAGGGGCTTAAAGGGGGGTGCCTTAGTGTGATTTTTTTTGTTTTTTAATCTTCAGTTCCATGAGGACTTCTGATGCGACCCTCAGCCAAAAGTTGTTTGTATTGCAATTCTACACAACATACTTTTTTTTTTCAGATTTTTTTGGAGTCTTTTTTTTTTTTTTTTTTGCGCTGGGGCTGCCAGGGCCCATGCCCGGGGGTCATGCCCGGCCGGTCACCCGGTCGCCAAACCGGGCGTGATGTCAGGACCCGGGCGCCCGGGATATCTCCCTAGGTCTATAGCGCATTTTACAGAAGAAGAGAAATCTAATACCAGGAGCAGCTCGGATTAGAACGCTGGTCTGTTCGAGTGTATTTTGCCTCTTGTGTTTTTGTGTTGTATGACACCCCTGGGTCTTGAACTCGAGCAGGGACTCCTCCGGGAAATGTTATGTAGGCCAGTAGGGGTATACCGGTTTGGTCAGGCTGAAGGCCCAGCTGACCAATGGGGAAACGGAGGACTGGATGATTCTAATGATTCTAATTTGCGGTACTATTTAAGGTTGCACTTGAGTTTGTAGTTCTGCTCATTTGAAAATGGAAATGGGGAAAGCATTTTGGATTTTGGGCTGGTGGGTTGGGCAACTGGGCAAGTCTTGGAGGGACTTCCCTGTGTGCTTGGATGTGAAAGAGTGATCATGGGTTTCTAATCAACTGGGTACGAGTTCAATCACACGTTTGAATGTGTTCCGTGAGCATGTATGGAGGAGGAAATGTATCGAGTCTACCATAATCATAGCAGTGGTATTCGAGAAGGTTCAATCATGATGATTGGACATCAAACACTCAGCACTCAGGTGCTACATGAGCGTATCATATCATTGCCATGTCAGCATACACAACCTATCGCACATCATACCTCGTTTTCTCAGACTTCTGTTGTGATTACGACTGCGGTTGAACTGGTGAAGGGTAGTGAAGGGGCCGAGGTGTTGAGAGAGCGTAGAGAGGTGAGAAGCTCTAACTAGCCTGTGCCCCTTGTGAAGCGGTCACAGAGCAAGAACACACAGAAGTTGAGGAGGGAAGAACTGTACAGGAGGAGTTGAAGACCAAGCAGCCAGAGTTGCACACAAAGATGCAAGTGAAGAGTGTGCAGGTAAGACAGCAAGCGACCACCGACTCAAAGGTGTTGAAGGAGCGGAGCTCCGGGGTGGGGGACAATCTCCATACCACAACTGTCATGCAGTCCACTCATGCATATGAAATGGCTGCTTTGTGCAGCAGCATATCCCAACATGGCATCAGCCCTCAAGATGCTATTCCAGAAGGGCCTTACTGTTGCCATTCCGGGATGTGCCGCTGCACCACCTCCACCACAGCAGCCAGATCTGTAACACTTAGGAGGCAGTGGAGTGCCGATGGAGGTGGATGTGCCCAAAGAGCCCTTGAAAGAAGTGGCCGCACACATTCAATGGGCAGCTGGCCTACTACTGTGTCACCGAGGATATGGACATTTTCAACAGAGCAAGAACACAGAAGTTGAGGAGGGAAGAACGGTACAGGAGGAGTTGAAGACCCAGGAGCCAGAGTTGCACACAAAGATGGAAGTGAAGACTGTGCAGGCAAGACAGCAAGCGAGCACCGACTCAAAAAAGGTGTTGAAGGAGCGGAGCTCCGGAGTGGGGGACCATCTCCAGATGAAGACTGTCATGTAGTCCACTCATGCGTATGAAATGGCTGCTTTGTGCAGCAGCATATCCCAGCATGGCATCAGCCCTCAAGATGCTATTCCAGAAGGGCCTTACTGTTGCCATTCTGGGACGTGCTGCTGCACCACCTCCACCACAGCAGCCAGATCTGTTACTCTTAGGAGGCAGTGGAGCGCCTATGGAGGTGGATGTGCCAAAAGAGCCCTTGAAAGAAGTGGCCGCACACATTTAATGGGCAGCTGGCCTACTACTGTGTCACTGAGGATGTGGTCATTTTCAATCGGCCTTCTCATGTTTTCTGCTGTTGCGAAGGACTGGGAAGACGCTGATGAACGACAGGCTGTGGTGGACATCATCGAGTTTTCCCAGAAGTCCAGCTGGCAGGATAAGGCATGTGGGTACAAGAACCTTTTTAGAGAGTCTGACCAGAGACTTCAGGCACCTGACTTGGCCTTGGGAAGAGGGAGCACTCATGTGCTGCTGCTTCATGTGAGCTCTCCCATGTTGTCAGCGACCAACTTGGGCCACCAGCAGGGTGTGGAGCTGCAGAAAAACCGACAGATGCCTGAAGTGGCCTCGGCCCTGAAGTTGGATTCAGCACTGTGTGGGTACCGTCATCCAGAAAGGCCCCGGCGAGTGTGGATGCAGAAAGGTAACTCCTGTGTATGGGTGGAGCTGTTGAGGGAAAGCCTATGCAGCACAGGAGATTAGAGGCTCCCATGTCCCAAGGGTGACAGGCGTTCTTTAGAGGGACAGCAAGAGGAAGACCTCGTGTGAGGCTGCAGGGGGAACAGGGTCCGGCTATCCAAACTGCCAAAATGAATCGGGCCTCAAGTGGCAGCAGCAGAACAAGGAGGGCAGGGAAAATTGTTGCAGTGATGAATCGTCAGATGGAGGCCAGAGGACAAAGTGCTGAGAGAGACTGAATCACAGGGGATGTGTGCATGGGGAGAAGCATAATGGACAGTGTGCAAAATTCAGCCACTATGGGTACTCACTCGCTAATGCACTGCCGTTCTCTGGAATGAATAAAAGACTAATCCCGGTGGATGTTGCAGTCCCGTCTACACAGGCTCGGTATAACAGATTCTGCAGACAGCAGAGGGCCTTGTCCTTCCACTTATAGACTGGAGCACCCGGGGAGAGAAGTCAGAGAGCAGTGGTCGGTGCAAATGCTTTCACCTGCATTGACCTGCTGCCAGACGGAGGTACAGTGCAACAGCCGAGTTGAAAGACAATTTCCACGCTGCATTTGGAGGTGTATGTGCAGGATCTCAGCATCCTGGTGAACGTGACGATGGCCAATGGCGATGTGATAAAAATCATACAATATGGGCCTGTCATCTCGACTAGTTCCTGGTGAAGAGGGTGGAGTCTGACGTTCACTCTCATTCTGTATTTTGAACAACCTACCAACCCAGGTGTTTTCCCGCCAGCTATGGCTTTGGACCGCAAGAGCAGCCATCTTCTGCTCCTTTCACATGGTGCAGAGTCCGGATGC